AAAAAAAAAAAGAATTTGTTTTCCACTCAATACCCAACCCACATAAATGTGATACCATCAATAGTGCACAACTCTATCCCTACACTTTAGTTAATAAAGATTTCAGATGACCCCACATTTTGTTCTTTTGTATTGCCATGAGTTCTTGCTCATGGATATATGGTCAATTAATTTATGACAAATGAGTCAAGAATATAGAATGGGAAAAGGACAGTCTCTTCAACATATGATGTTGGGAAAATTGGATAATCACATGCAGAAGAATGAAACTGAACCACCAACTTACATCATATACAAAAATTGTCTCAAAATGAATTAGACTTGAACATAAGTTCTGAAATCAGAAAACTCCTAAAAGAATATATAAGTGATAAGCTTGTTGACATAGGTCTTGGAGATGATTTTTTTTAATCTGACACCAAAAGCAAAAGGAACAAAAGCAAAAATAAACAAGTGGTGCTACATCAAAATAAAAAGCTTTTGCACAGCAAAGGAAACCATCAGCAAAACGAAAAGGTAACCTACTAAGTGGGAGAAAATATTTGTAAGTCATATATTTGATAAGGAGCTAATATCCAAAATATATAGAAAACTCATACAACTCATCAGCAAAAAAAAAAAATCCTGAAACCTGTGTAACTTTACTAACCATTGTCACCCCCAATAAACTTTAATAAAAAAAAATCCAATTAAAAAATAGGCAGAAAATCCGCATAGACATTTTTTCTAAAGAAGACATATAGAGGGCCAAAATGTACATGAAAATATGCTCACTGTCATTAGTCATCAGGAAAACGCAAATCAAAACCATAAGGAGATATCACCTCACGACTGTTAGTATGGTTATTTTCAAAAAGACTAGAAATAAGTGTTGGCAAGGAAGGATGTAGAGAAAAGGGAAAATTATGCACTGTTAATACGAGTGTAAACTGGTGCAGCCACTACAGAAAACAGTATGGGGATTCCTAAAAAATTTACAAGTAGAACTACCACATTATCCAGCAATTCTACTTCTGATTATTTATCCGAAAAAAATGAAAACACTCATTCCAAAAGACATATGCACACCTATGTTCACTGCAGCATTATTTATAATAGCAAAAATATGGAAACAATCTAAATTTCTATTGAAGGATGAATTGGCAAAGAAATTGTGACACACACACACACACACACACACAATAGGAGATTATTCAACCATAAAAGAATGAACTCTTGCCATTTGTAACAACATGGATGGACTTCGAGGGCATTATGCTAAGTAAAATAAGTCAGAGAAAGACAAATGCTGTATGATTTCCCTTATATGTAGAATCTAAAACAAAAACAAAACAACAACAACAACAACAACAACAACAACAAAAACTAAGCTCATATATGCAGAGAACGGTGGTGGCTGCCAGAGGCAGGGTGAGGAGTAGGGAAAATGGGTAAACTATTTTTGTTTTTGTTTCTTTTGTTTAAATAAATTGAAGTTTTTTTAAAAATAATTATTTAGCACAGCAGATAAAGATGATTAAAGGTGAATTAAACTACTAAGAGGGGCAAAACATTTTACTTTACTTCTAATTACAAACTATAGCAATTTCTCATTTGAGACTGTGTATTCACAATATATTGAACATTCACAATATATTGCAAGCCAAGTAGTATTCTAATATCATAACTTTATTTTTGTGTTCAGGGAATAAATTCTGAAAATAAAACATGGATATTTAAATGTTTTCTTTTGTGGTAAGTCCTAATATTCAGCCAACTGCAACTATTTTTCAAACTAAACTTTATGACTTCCAGGCATTTGGCTCAAAAACTTCTGAATATAATTTATAAAAATTCATACAATAAAATTACATGCTATAACACAGAAAAGACTTATATAATAAATAAGATATAAAAACAATCTTTTAATAATTAATGTGGAAAATTTCCTAGCAATGTGCCTTGCATATTGCTCAAAAGAATTTGCTGAATAAATATTGGGTTGTCGGATAAGTCATGACGCACTTTTGCAATGAAAAACATAGAAACAATACATCATGACTTTTCTGACAACCCAATAAATCTTGCTGGTAACTTTCTATAATAAGGTGAGTACACATTTTTGTTTATTATTTTGCAAGGGTATTTTATGCTATAACATTTTTATCTTCTATAGGTTATTTTGTAAGTATGACAGTCATAAAATTCATTAAATCAAAAATGACCAGAAAGCATTAATATTTTGTTCAAATAGAAATGTTCCCTATTTGGAAACTGTTAGCTTTTAATTATACAGTGATCGCCTAATAGAGTTATAGAAATCTCTCATCATTGTACTAAAGTTCTTTCCAAGAAAGGATGAAAGGCATTTTGAGATTTATGAAATTATTCTATAATTAAAAGGTTAGTAGAATATAATTTCAGAAGACTATTCACATCACTCAATAAAATAAATACAAATTTTCAAAAATATGCTAGTAATTACCGTGTATCAGGGTTCATGTGAATTAACTGAGCTAATTATAATTGATAAAATACAATGTCTTCTAATAAATGACACCTACATTTTTCATTTTTGTATTTTCTAGTATTTCCAAAAGGGGGGCCGGCTGAGTGTCTCAGTTGGTTAAGAGCTCGCTCAAGAGTGTGAGCTCTGAGCAATAGGGTTGCCAGTTCGATTCCCGGACAGAGCTGAGCTGCTGCTGAGCTGCCAAAAGGTGGCAGGATGGCTCAGCTAAAAAAAAAAAAGAAAGAAGAAAACCAAAAGGGTATATTCTGTGAAATAGATAAAAATAGGGATATTTGTTCTAAACATATACAAAATATCCCTGAGTTGTGTTAATGTGTCCAATCAAGGTACTGGGTCCATACAATAAAAAGTAAGTGATCCATATTTTCTTTTTTCTATTGGTTGACCAGAAGTATATCAGCCATTTAAAATATTTTACTTGTGTGAGAAGTTTTTCCTTTTCTTCAGTCTCTTCTGGTGTAAGAGGTTCAGCTCCATCAATCTTTTTTTGTTCCTCTCTTTGAGCCACAGCTGGATTTGGCATATCAGGATTCCTTGGGACCTATAAATCAAGAGATGAGTTATGAGTAAACTGTTGGGAAAAATTAATTAAGGGTGTATATACATGTATCAATCTTTAGAGTTATTTCAACAGTAAACAATATAAAATCATTCCTGAATCTTCTCCACATTCCTACTACCATGATATTACCAAAATAAAAATGTTAAGTGTACCACTTGGTATTTTAGAGTTCAAACCCATTGCTCAATGCCACATTACACTTTAGAGTTGGTTATACTATAAAACAAAATATATCTTTTAGTACTGTAATACATGGCAATAACGATTATGTCATTAACCCCAATACCAACATTATACAATAAATTCTCAAGCCCAGAAGAAACAAAAAGTTTGGCAGTACAGAAAGAGCCCATCTTCATCCAGCAATATAGACCAGGGTAGAGAAGCGGCAATGCACCTGAAGACTACATCCAATGGTCTGGTCAGTTCACTGTGCAAAAGGAAAGTTATGCTTTTATTGACTGCCAGGGTATGGAAAGAGAGAGCATCTTCACATAAAATGCAAAAAGTCTAGAAGTGACAGGATAATGGAGAAGCAAAAAAATATAGGATGTGTGTGTGTGTGTGTGTGTGTGCGCGCGCGCACGTGCACACACGGACATGTGTGCATGTTTGTAGGGGCAGCAGAGCACACAAACAGCTGTGATGAGATCCACAGTCAAGGGAAAATGACTACAGTAGCAATGGTCAATAGAAGTCATAAATAGTGTTCTGGGTACAGAGCTGCAAATACACTCACAACTAAGAAGAAAAGAGTTCAAGTCCAAAAGAATGAGGACAAAACCTTAGCTCTCCAAGGAAGTAGTCAGTCACCTGGTAGCCCCAGGGGCTTTGGTTTGTTACAGTGAACACAGACAACCAGTACTGTTCAGCAGTGCGGAGCAGCATTCATTGTATGGAGTGACAAACTAAGTCATTTAGTCTAAAGCCTCACAATATTTCTATGTGCATCTGCAGTGATGATGCAGCACACTGATTTAAGAGGGCAGGTATATAACTTGTGTAATGCATTTTATAGCATGCCATTACACATGAAAAGAAAAAGGGTTGACAGTAAGCATTCCACTGTTTGGAATGCACACCTATCATAAATGATTCATTCCCTAGGGTATCAGATGGTTTTACTACAATGTAATTATAACACATATTATAGTACATTTTTCTATTTTTGATATATACTTCATAGAGTTTGAAACTATATCTTTGCAACTTAAAAATACTTTTAAAACTATTATATTCAACAGTTGCTTAAATATAAAACCTAAAAAGAAATACTGAAAAGAACAGATTAATTTGTAATCATCAATACCAGAAAATCAAATTATTAAGTATTCACTAAATGTCGATTATGTCTATAGCACTATAATAGGCATTCATTGAAATATAAAAGAAGTAGTGGACATGATCCTTGCCTGGAGGGAGCTCACAACCTAGTTGTGGAATTTTGATCTGTATCTTCAGAAATTGAAGGATTTGAAGACATGGACAGGAGGGAAAAAGTATTTTAGGCAGGAGCAGTATGAGCAAACAAAGGCAGAAATGTATAGGAAGGAGCACATATGGTTGATGCTGAGAAGGGATAAGAAACAAGGACAGGTGGAGAGAGATTTAGAGGGCCTTTGGAAACTATACAGCAGGCAACAGAAAGCCACTGGAGATTTTTGAGCAAGGAAATAAAGTGTCAAAACATAATGTTTTCACCTTTAAGCCTTCTGCTAGATGGATTAAAGTGGGGAAGTAACCAGAGGCAAGAGAACCAGCTAAACTATTGTAATCTAGAAATGAGGTATAATCACCTAGCCTAGGATGATGGCACACAGAAATGGAAAAGAAGGCATAAATTAAAAATGAAATGTAGTCCAGTGATAAGCATAACTAAAAATAGCTTTTTTCAATGGCTAAATTCAATTTTTAAATTACAGGAACACCATCAATTCCATTCCTAAGTATTTATCCAAGGAAATAAAACAAATCTCTACAAAGACTTTTACACAAATGTTCACAGCTGCTTTATTCATAATATCCAAAAGTCAGAAAACAGGCCAGATGTCCATCAACAAGAGAATGGATAAGCAAACTGTACTATATCTTTACAAAGGAACAGTATTTACCAATAAAAAAAAAGAACTACTTGACAATGGGACAACATGAAGGAATCTCAAAAACAGTATGCTAAATAAAAGAAGACTTATACATAATGTATGATTCCATTTATATGAAATTATAGAACAAAAAATACTAATCTATAGAGTAAAATAATGTCAGAACAGTGGCTATATCTGGGGAGTATATATGGGGATTGACTGAGAAGAGGCACTCTCTGGGGTGACTGTAATGTTCTCTATCTTTACAGAGGTTTTAGTTATGTAAGTGTAACCATTTGTCAAATACATCGAATGATAACACTTAAGATTTATGCATTTCACTGTACATATATTTTACCTTGAAAAAGATTCAAATAATATTGAACTCTGGCTAATGATATGCATGTTGAAGTGTTTCTGGGTGAAATATACTTATGTCTGCAACTTTGAAATAGATGAAAAAATAAGATGGATATCCATTTGATAGAAGGCTGGAGAATAGGACAAATAGGTGATAAACCAAATACAGTAAAATATAAATTGGAAAATATATGCGGTGTGTATATGGGTTTTCAGGGTACAATATGTCAGCCTTTTTGTATATATGTTTAAAAAAATTACAGACATCACTTTAAAAGTTTAACAGACTCCTTAAATTGCTCGTATACAAAATTATTTTGGCTTCAAATTTTAACTGAGAAAAACCTCTCTAATCTTAAAATACTTCTCTATCAAATAGCTTCAAAACTCTATGTCCAAGAAACCATATTTTAACAAAATGAAGTTATTTAATAAGCATCTAAATTTATGACAGAAAATGGATAAAATAGTCACACAAAATCAACTCTTTATTCCTACGCAGATATCCCCAATACTAAAGCTTTCCACCTTGAACTTCAGTATAAGCAAAATCAGAATATTATGTCATATGATTAGACACTAGGATGCACTGCAGACTTTTTCCAGATCCACTGGTCACATTTTTTAATACAGGAAAACTTTAGAAGGACTTCATCAATGTCGCATTTACTATTTTAATTCTCAAAATTACTCAAATACATATTTGATAAAATTGTTAGAATTAGATAATGACTCTAAATTCTGGTATCTCATCCTACCAAAAAATCTCCTTCTTAATATTCATCATTTGTAAAAGTTTTTCATTTTTCATCTCCTGAGATTCTTACCAGCATTAAGCTTCCTAGAGTGATTACAAAGTGGTATATAAGAATTAAGTACACAGGCTTCCAGTCAATATGGCATAGTAGGTAAGCACTGTGCTTACCTCCTTTCAGGACTATATAAAAATTACAACTGAACTAAACAACACCCACCATTGAGAATCACCTGAAGTCTTGCTGAGCCAAAGCCCTACAACTGAGGCTATAAAGAAGAAGCCACCTCGTGAATGGTAGGAGGGGCAGAGACACGGAACAGGCTGGTTCCACACGCATGTGTGACCATTAAAATCGGGAGGACTATCTCAGCTGTGGAGGTTCCCCTCAGAGGAGTGAGGGGTCCCAGCCCCACACTAGCCTCCCAAACCAGGGTCCCAGTGCCTGGAAAAAGAAGTCCCCACAATCTCTGGCTGTGAAAACCAGCAGAGATTGTGGCTGAGTGAGATGGAGGGCAGCTGGAGGCCCAGGCACTCCTCTTAAAGGGCCTCCTCATGGACGTACTTGCTGATGAACTCACGCGCTCTGAGCTCCAGTGCCGGGGCAGCAGCTCGAAAGGTGCCAGGGACATATGGGGAGTAGCTGAATTGGCTGGATTAGGGTGAGGGCTTAAGGAGCAAACTCCTCTCAGATGGTGGAGCTGACCAAAGCCATTGTTTCTTTGTTGACCCCTACCCATTCCCAGTGTGCAGATGCAGGCAGCCGCCATACCTGAGTCTCCATCAACCTGGCTAACTCCATTTATCCAGCCTCCCAGGTGATTCCCCAAGACCCTGTCCCACCCAACTTTCAGGAACACCTAAGCTGCTTCCAGTGGCTTTTCCATATAAATGACCTGTCTTGGCTTATGCTGGAGATGCTCCTAAAATCTCTCAAAAGGTCACAAAACCCAAGCAAACAGCATCTGGATTTGGTGTGTCCCATACCTCTTGCTGAGCAACTCTAAACCCGGCACTAGCAGTAGCCAGCCTCAGTCCATAGCTTGGCCTCTCAAGGCACCTCCAGGCCCAGCATGTGTAGTGACCATCTGTAGATTGCTTTGTGGCTCATGCCAGGTGGCCCCATACAAGGCATAGGCTGCCGCTGAACATGGCCTGCGGTTCGGCCTCTCCCAGGAAGCTGTGGGGCTGGCATGCCCAGTGGCCAGCTTTGGAAAGAGTCGGAGCATCACCCAGCCACCTCCAAGAACGACATACCCAAAAAGCAGACTGGGCGGGCACCAGAGCCCTGCTAAAGCAAATCCTGTTCCATAGGGTCAACCCCTGCACAAGACGTCCTCCACTGCAGTCAAGTCAGTCCTTACAACCAATCAGCCCGAAGGTCAATCCCTCTCACTGATGTGCAAACAGCAACCAAGGCCCCACTACAACAGGAAGGCACACACAACCCACACAAAGAACGCACCTGGAGCACCCAGCTCTGGTGACCAGGGAGACTGAGCTAGTAGGCTCCACAGGACACCTACTACACAAGGCCACTCTACTAAGACCAGAAGGCATAGTAGGTCTACCTAATACATAGAAACAAATACAGGGATACAGCCAAAATGGGGAGACAAATAAACATGTCCCCCAAAAAAGAACAGAACAAAACTTCAGAAAAAGAACCAAACAAAACGAAGACAAGCAATCTACCAGAGGCATAGTTCCAATCGCTGGTTGGAACAGAACAGAAAAAAAATCCAAAAAAATAAGGATAGTTAAAGGGGCCTCTGGCACAA